ATTTAGAATAGTTCTAGATTTACCAAAAGGTTGCAAAGATAGTCAGAGTTCCTATATATCTCATACCCAGTTTCCCCTATTGTGAACATCTTACATTACTCTGGTATATTTGTCACAGCGAAGGAACTGATATTGGCACGTTACTGTGAACTAAATTGCACACTTTATTAAATTTTACTAGAGCCTTTCTCATTATATCATATCAGGAGTGACTTCTATCAACATGGCTTATCCCTGATGATGTTAATCTTGATAACTGGCCAAGGTAGTATTTGCCATTTGCTGTATTTCTCCACTGTAAAGTTACTTTTGCCCCCTTTCATACTCGATGCTGTGGAAGCACCTCACTAAACACAGCCCACACTCAAAACCCTCCCCCTTTTGAGATATATGCTAAAATATTTAGAATTAAAATGACACGATAATAATGATTTGTTTTAAAATAGTTTAGCAAAGAAAAAAAAAGCATGGGGGAGGAGAGGTAGATAAAAATAACTATGGTGATATACTGATGGCTGTAGAAGCTGGTGATGTACTTACTAGAAGACAAAGAATTCTAGCAACTTTCCAGGGTCTCCTTCACTGAAAGAGCACCAACAACATCTGTAAATGTCTAGAAACTTGTCCGACCAGCTTTAGGGACCTACTTTTTTTCTTTAGAAAACAGATTCTGTCTCGGAATCCCTTCCACCCCTCTCTTCCAACACCTGTGCATTTAACCTAAGTTTTGTCATGTTTATTTATGAGATTGGATTTTGTCTCTGGCTGATATGGACTGAATGGTTGTGTCCCCCCAAAATCCATGTGTTGAAATCCTAGCCCCCAAGCTGATGGTATTTGGAGGTGGGACCTTTAGAAGGTGACTGGTCATGAGGCAAACCTGTCACGATTGGGATTAGTGTCCTTATAAAAGAGAGCTAGCTTGCCCCTTCTGCCAGTTGAGAATACAGTGCGAAGATGGCCCTGGATGAGAAAGGGGGCCCTCACCAGACACTGAATCTGTCAGCACCTTGATCTTGGACTTCCCAGCTTCTAGAACTGTGAGAAGTAAGTTTCTGTTGTTTACAAGCCACTCAGTTCGTGATATTTTGTTATAGCAGCCTGAATGTATTAAGATACTTGCACAGGTATAGTCTATTCCCGTCATTCTTTGGTCTAACCAAGCAAGGGCCTTGCCCATCAAAGATACTCAATAAACATTTGGTAATGGAAAAAAGTATCTGGGAGGGTGCTTGTTTAAAGGTGAACATTCCTGAGCCTGTCCCCCAAATATTCTGAGAACCTACATGTTAACAAAGTCCTGCCATCTTTTTGATATAAGTGCCCCATGGACCATGCTTTTAGAAAAACTGTTTAGATTATACAGGCAGAGACCATCCTGATGATCCCTGTATTCAATACACATTTTTGATGAATGGATATATTAATGAGTGAATGAATTTACATTCTTTGTGAATGAATGAGAAAGTTGCACCCACAACTGATTTTTATTATCAGCTTTTTTTTTTAAGATTTTATTTTTCCTTTTTTCTCCCCAAAGCCCCCCAGTACATAATTGTGTATTTCTAGTTGTGGGTCCTTCTAGTTGTGGCATGTGGGATGCCATCTCAGCATGGCCTAGATGAGCGGTGCCATGTCCGCGCCCAGGATTCGAACTAGCGAAACCCTGGGCCACTGAAGCAGAGGGCACAGACTTAACCACTCGGCCACGGGGCCAGCCCCCTATTATCAGCTTTTGAAGCAGTTTTAGTTGTGGGGCTTTGGGTTTATTCTCAGAATCAACTAGTCATGCAAAAATCATAAAAAATATAAAATCTTAGACACTTGGCTTAAAAGATTTGTCCAAAATTTTCTGGCTTCAAAGTGGCTAGTTACGTCCACCTTTACCAGCTTCTTCATTACACTGATTTATTGATTAATGATAATAACCACCACTTTATTGCAGGCATTATGACTAGGTACTAGAGAAACAGAGCTGAAAAAGAAAAGTTCCTGTACTCAACAGCTCTATGGTGGGAAATAAAAACCCAAAACTCAACAACTACAATATAGTGTCTTAAGTGCCGTAAGAGAGAGGCTGCATTTTCCAGTATAGACCTTATGAGCCATCCATGTAATTCCATGAAAAGAGTATGTTAAACCTCTGATGAGGTTTGGCTTCTATCTGCTTTGATCAAGTGATCAAAACAACTCCCCATTCCTTGTTTTGTTGCCTGGGTTCTTGACTTAAAGAACCTACTCAGGCAGGCCTCTTGGCTCCATTTTTGGCACTTCTTCCCACACTAGAGCCAGTACCAGGCATGGCAAACCCACTCATGTAGCTTGGAGCTCTCAGGCAGCCCACACATTAAGGGAAATAGGATCAGTTGTGTACTTTACAGTTTCCTTAAGATAAAAAGCACAACACAAGTGGATAGTACTTTAAATGTCTGGGGCGCAATATGGCACAGTAGGAGGAACAGTGGATCAGGAATCTGAGGGGGAAACAATAACAGTAAATACAGCCTTGCTTCTTTTTTTTTTTAAGGACAAATCCTTCAGTCCTCAAAGCCCTTTCCTGTGCTACTTCTGTGACATGGAGCAAGTCACACAGTGTCTCTGGACCTTGGTTCCTTATCTGTGAGACGAAAGGGTTGGACTCAGATAGCTCTAAGGCTCCTTCCAGCTTTATAAGTCTGGTAGAAACTTTATCTACCCTACGAGTTCACGTGAAGATCCAGCTGGACCACTCCGCCCCCTCCCAGCTCTGGGCTAACCTGTGGGGTTATGCCATTCAAACATATGGACATGAAATAAAAAACTGAAAATCATTTTGTGAATGGTGGGGTAGAGGGAGCTTTGAATCTAAAACTAAACAGGATGCAGTTCTGTAGAAAAAAGTCATGTAGAAAAAGTGGAAACTTATTAAGTTAACTAAAAACCACAGGCTTTTGACATGGTCCGGTCAACCCTTGGTGGTCAGCATAGATGTCCTCTCATCATTTCTATTACAGTATGTTTGGTCATGGACTAGACATGTATGGAATGCTTACTGCTGCAAGACACGAGGTTAGGTTCTAAAAATATTGAGGGAAAAGCGAGCTGAAAACTCCATTATTCAGCTGGAATATAATTAAACTTAAAACTGCTGTAGGATTTAAGAAGATCAAGCAACTTCCAAAAAAATTATAAACAAACTTTTACAATAAATATTGAAGGATTACAGCTGCATATTAAAATCTCTATACATATTTGTCTTTAGGACTTTCTCAAAGAATGAAAACAGAAAATGCTGTTTTGAAAGGGCTTGCCAAATTTTTAGTAAAAATAGTTTTCTGTATTTGGGGAAAGTGTAATACTGGTATTTTAGATAAATTGTAGTGTTTATCTTTGGGCTTAAATGGTGCTAGAAAATTAGGAAACTTGCTCTGAACCCATTTAATACAATAGAGATGTAGTCAATTGGCATTTTTATTCCAATGGTAACTAGGCTTAAAAAATCCGTCTATCTATCTATCTGTCCATCAGAAACAAGAAACGAAAAACTATAAAACAATCATGTTATTTTCCTCTTTCTATTTTGGGATTTGATCTCAGGCAATTCAACTCCCAGGGACTATGTTCTTCATGCCAGATCACACTGTATGGAATACAGTATATTGAATTTCAGGCTCCTAAATACTTTGAGATCCAGCATGGGAAGGGAAGGAAGAAAGGGTCAGAGGGAAAACCCATTGGAAAAGAATGAAGAATGCTACCAATGAACAGAAATGGCGACTCTGAATGGCTGAAAACAGTAGTAACGTTAGTAAAGGCTGCCAAGATGCTAGAAGGTAGGGTGTGTAATTGGAGCATGAGAAATTAGAGTTCTATTTTTTAAGGCAGAGCTGCTTAAGACGATGCTAAATTTCTGGCTGAGTACCTGGGAGTAAGTTTAAGTTACTAGCTAGAGACAAATCTCCTTCTGGTGAAGAAGGTCCAAGAATTGTGAATCAGATATTCAGATAAACCTGTGACATGAATATTGAAATCTCGCAGTAATGTGGTCCGAGAATGTGGTATCTATGATTGTTGCCTTTTGGAAATTATCAAACTTTACCTTGTGGCCTCATCAAGTTTCGTCAGTTTCCTATGGCAGATTTGAAAAGCTTGTGTGTTCTTAGTTTACTGGGGTTGTTTCACTTTGCTTTTTTACACACTCTGGGAACTTCTGTCTTTTAATAAGGAAATTTAAATATTTATACTTATTCTGATATGTTTGTGCTTATGCCTGCTATATTATTCTTTGGTTGCAAGCATCAGCAGAAACCAACTCCGACTAGCATGAACAAAAGGCAAAGATACTGAGGACAGAGAATTGATAGTTAGGCTCGAAGGATGTAGTAGGTTTTAGTTTCCAAAAATACTGCAATATCTTCCATCCCACATGTTGTTCTTCAATGTGACTGCGACACTCCACCCGTTAAAAGGTGAAATGTATGTGACTTCTTCTTGAATCTGGGTAGATTTATGACAATGGCAGAATTGAAGTCACATCACTTCTGAGGCTAGGTCATAAAATGTGATACAGCTTGTGTCTGGTTCTCCTGGGATAATCGCTCTTGGAATTCAGCCATGCCATGAAGGAGCCTCAACAGCCCATGGAGAGACAAACCTGGAAAGGAACCAAAGCTTCTAGCCATCAGCCCTGGCTGAACACTCAGCAGATAGCCCGGCACCAAACTGGCTAGGTAGATGTGCGAGCCATTTTGGAAGCAGGTTCTCCAGCCCTAGCTAATGCCCTATGGAGCAAACGAGACTCCTCCCCCAACCCTGCCCAGATGATAGATTTGGGAGCTCAAGAACGAACTGTTGTTTTATTGACTGAGTTTTGAGGTGGTTTGTTACACAGGAATAGATAACCAGCACGGAGAATCAAGTTTGGAAATGGGCATGAAACAAGGCAACTTCTGAGAAACAGAATGGACTCTAGTAAATATCTTATGGGTAGGGTACCAAAATTGAAAGGAATAACTACTAACCATTTTCAGTCTTATTACCATTCTTCTTAAGTTCCAGGTTTCTGTGAAGGGGTCTTTTAATGTTCTGATTTCAGACACCTACTCGCCCTTTGGCCACCAATGGGCTGAAGATCTGAGTAATAGCCCCAGTAATCTGAAACAAGGGGAAAGAGACAATTATTCAGAAGGAAATATGGATACAGGAAATATTACTAGTTTTCTATGACTGCTGTGACAAGTCACCACAAATTCAGTGGCTTTAAACAACATAAATTTATTTTCTTATAGTCTGGAGGTCAGAGGTTCAAAAGAGGTCGTATTGGGCTAAAATCAAGGTGTCAGCAAGGCTGCGTTTCCTTCTAGAGGCTCAAGGGAGAATCTGTTTTCTTGCCTTTCCAGCTTCTAGAGGCTGCCCACATTCCTTAGTTTATGGCCCCCTTCCTTCATTTTCAAAGCCAGCAATGTCGCGTTTCTCTGTGCCTTCCTTCCATGTCACCTCTTCCTCTAATTCAGACTCTTGCTCTGCCTCCCTCTTTCACTTTTAAGGACTCTTGTGATGACAACCGGCCCACTATGCGAATCCAGGATCATCTCCCCGTTTCATATTTTTTAATTTAATCACACATGCAAAGTCCTTCCTGCCATGTAAGATAACATATTCATGGGTTCTGGGGATTGGAACATGGATATCTTTTGGGGGGGCTGTTAGTCTACCTACGACAGTATACAAAAGCAGAATGGATGCTGAGTGGGCCCCACCACTCAAAAAACATGCCCTCTACAATACACATTCTGGTTTATATTTTTTCTCTTCTTAATTTGATTGAATTTATCATTATCCTTGTGCCATTTTTTCTCTCAAGTAGTTTGTAACTTAAACATCCAGTTTATATCTGCCTCTATGGTAACCCTTATACTTATCAGGCATTATTGACTTACAATTTTCTGTATGTGTTTAGAGATAGTATCTATACACATCTTCAAATAAGACAAAAATCTTAGTATGCTTTTCTCTCTCTCCTTTCCCTTTGCCCTCATAATAAGATCATTTCAGTTTGACATGATCATTATTTCTTTTTACTTTATGAATCAGCAATAATAAAAACTTAATTCAAAGTTTTCATTTTTGTTTTCTATAACAGGAAGTATTTGGCCACAAATAACAGAAAACTCAACTAAAAGTGGCTTAAACAAAATGAGAAAACTTAAGGTCACATAAAAAGAAGTTCAGAGATTGGTTGTTCCTGGATTAATTTAGTGGCTCATTGATGTCATTAAGGATCTAAACGATTTTCATCTTCTGCTTTCTTTCTCAAGCTCATCCTGACCTAGTAGGAAGATGGCTGCCATGGTTCCAGCTATCACATCCACAGACAACCCCATCTGGAGACAGTGTGTTAGTTATCTGTTGCTGCACAACAAATCAAATGTCTAAAAACAATAATAAAATCTACTATTTTTCATGGTGTCTGTGCGTCGGGATTTGGGAGCAAGTTGGTTGGGTGGTTCTAGCTCAGGATCTCTTGTGAGCTTGCAGTCAGAGCCACTTGGGATCACAGTCATCTGAAGGCTTGACTGGACTGGACGATTCAAGGAGGCTCACTCACATGGCTGGCAAGCTGCATGACTATCGGCAGGACGCGGTGGCTGGCTTCCCCTACAGCAGTGGTTCTCGACTAGGGGTGATTGTGCTCTCCAGGGGACATTTGGCAATGTCTGGAGACATTTTTGGTTGTCACAGCTGGGAAGACGTTATTGGCATCCCGTGGATAGGGACCAGGGATGCTGCTAAACATCCTATACTGCACAGGACAAGCCCCCACAACATGAATTATCAGACCCAAAATGTCAGTAGAGCTGAGGTTGAGAAACCCTGCCTTAGAGCAGGTGAACCAAGAGATCAAGGTAAAAGCTGACTTGTCTCTTCTTACCCAACTCCAGATGTCCCCTGTATTCTATGTGGAGGGCTCTACAAGGAGGGTAGGTAACGGGAGGTGAGGCTCAAGGGAGCCACCTTGGAGGATGGCTATCACAGGCAGGAAGCTTTCCCTGGCCCTCTTCTCTTCTCTCTCCTTCTCTTCTCTTTTCAGTTTTCAAAGAGGAAAACCATTCTTATAACCCCCCCACCAGACTTCTCCTTAGTCAGTGTTGCGTGATATGCCTATGTTTAAACCAATCATTAGGAGAGAATAGAATTGCTATGAGGACTTTAGACCATTTAACAGTCCCCCTCCCTCCGGGGCTGGGGAGAGCCCATGTTCTTTAAACACATGAAGGATAAATTCTCACAATCAGAGTTTTGCTAGTAAGGGAGAAAGAGAACGAGTGTGAGTGCTAACAGTCTGCTACCTCTGCTCACCATGGTCTTTCGCGTCACACATTTTCTTTGTGGATTCTTTGGTAGAATACATTTTCCAATGATAATTTAAGAGATGATCAACCATTTGAATCCTTATGCGTCTGAAAGTATGTCATTATTTTGTATTCTTTCTTGTGTTACTTTATTTGGGTAGATAATTCTAAGTTGGAAACAATTCCCTTAGAATACTTTGTTCCATTATCTACCAGCATCCATTGTTGCTGATGAGGAATAGTGACCTGGTTAGAATTGTCTTTTTATCCTTAATGCTCTGAAGTTCCATCATGATGTGTTTGAGTGTAGTACTTTTTACTTACGCACTAAATGGGAGATTTTAGCCGGAAGATGCTGAAACATTTTATATCAATTCTTTAAGGATTTCCTTCCATCCATTCTAGATGAATGTTAGAACTTCTAAATTTATTCCCTATGTTGTTTAGAATTTTGCTCATTGCTTTAACTTTTTTCCTGCAATCTGGGAGAAAACTGGGCCCAATCTTCTAGTCTATTAATTCACCCTTCAGTTCAGCCTGAATCAGTACAGTATGGTAAGGAAAAGCCTGAGTTCCAATCCTGACTCAACCATTTATTACTGTGTTGCCTTGAGTAAGTTAATTAACCTTTCTATTCTTCAGTTTACTTCTCTGTAAAATGAATATGCTAATGATATTGCCTACTTTATAAGATTATAAAGATTAAATGTTAATATATGAATGCTGAGAAGAGTACTTGTAGCAAAGTATTATTATTGTTCAATCTATTCATTTTTAAAATTTCAGTAAATATATTCTTAATTAGTCCTCTAACTGGTTTGTTTTCATAATAACCTTGTTGTTTTGTGAATGTAAGATCTTGTATTTTCCCTCTGAGGATAAAAAATATATACTATAAAACTTCTTTTTGCTCTGTTAAAAAGAACTTTGGGTGTTCAATCATTTGTTAATTGACATTGGTGCCTCTCTTTCATAGTAAGATTCCTAGGAATGATTGGCGATTCTGGGTTGTCCACGCATCTTAGCATTTGGAAGTCTCATTTGCCTATCTGTGGGGCTGATTCAAATGCAGAGTGCTTCTCTGCTGAGGGGGAAGGGAGACAGGACAGGACAGGGGGTGTGTGTGTGTGTGTGTGAGTGTGTGTATGTGTGCGTGTGCGCGCGTGCACGCGTGTTCCCATTTCTCTTGGCAATTGGTGAGCAGCTCCTTGGGGTGACCCTGTCTCCTTGGCCCAGGCACCCACATTCACAGAAAGTGCGTATCAGGGCTAGGGGTGCACACATCCACCTGCCCATTCTCATTAGCCTGCTTAATTTTCTTCATATCACTTATTACCATCTAAAATAACCTTTGTTATCGATTATTTACTCACAAGTTTATTATTGGCCTCTGTAAAGGCAAAGCTCCAGGGCCTAGTACTGTGTCTTGCACAGAGCACATGATCTATGTACATGTTGAATAGGTGAAGGAGTGAATTAGTGCCACTCTTTAGTTACTTGCCGTGATGAAAGTGCCTGCTCGTTGTAGCCATTGCTTCTGAGCTGGAAGCTGCCCCAACTTTCACCCTGGTCCCGCTCCATACAGTTTTGATTTGTGGTTCTACTAGCAATTCAATCCTGCCTGCTTTATATAACCTAGGAAGTCCTCTGAATTGCTGGACCACTGATGCTGCCTTTTTTGTCTTCTAGAACTCTAATGAATTTTTAAAAATATACTTTCTGCTACATCTAGGGATTTGTGGTGACAGAAGATGTAAGGAGTACGCTTTTAGAAGCTCCACAAGCAGTGTTACAGATTTCCACAGTGTTTATTTTAGTTGGAACATGGATTTGACATTAAATAACATTGAACTTAATATGGAGAACAGAACCCCTTTTGGGATTCTTTCTCTTTTTTATAAATATTTTTAAAATATAAAAATATTTCAAATATACAAACAGATACAGAGAACAATATAATGAATTCCCACTAGTAACAACTCAGATTTAACAATTCCAAACATTTAGCAATTCTAGCTTGAGATCTATTTTTTTTTTTTAAATAAATTAGATATCATTGTTGGGGCCTCCTCTGGGACTTCCCATTCCATTCCTCTTCCTTCCTTCTCACTACCCTGAAGCTCAACCGTACCCTTTCTGCCTGTGTCCATGCTTTTTACACTTAACTACATATTTACACAGACACATACAACAGATCATGTTCTGCAGACTTTCAAGCTGCACACAAATGACATCAATTCTTTCAATCCTTCACATGACACCAAGAAGAAAATCTCACTTAGGTTAAGTTTTGAATGCCTTTTCTGGCATTTCCTAATCTCTCTTAATAAACTAAGAGTGGGCCCCAGGATAGAAGCCTGGGGCAAGCAATGATAGCTAGCTAGAATTTAATAAGATTGCTTTATTTTCCTTCATGTTTATTTTAATGGTTTCCTTCTATTTTTTTTTTTAGCAAGTGTTGCTAGCTTTCCATTTACAGTAGCAATTTATGTTTCCTTTTAAATTAAATGTAAGAATATAGTACTGATTTAAAGAAAAATATTAAGTAAATAATAACAGTCCAGGAAGTACACAGACATGGCAAAAAATTAGGAGTTTGTACTGAAATGGCTGAAATTTGATGCACACTCGACCTAAAGGATGGAGTTGAAGTTCCTTAATGGGGCATCTAAGGTCCACCTGAGCTGACCTCTGCTTTCCTTCCCAGTCCAGTCGCCAGTCACTTCACCTCCCGCACAAACTGCTGGAGTGTCCTCCTTGCCTTACCAGCTGGAGGTGCCTCGGCTGTTGTAATCTCTCCTTTTATGGTATTTCCTGTAGCCTCATCCCTGCCTCCACTGCCTCTCTCGTCATCCTCTCCGGGTCCTAGGAAGCCCTCTACCACTTAGTACCCATTACAGTACTGAACACAGAGCTTTCTAATCTAATTCTAAATCTAAGGGTTGAATTTAGTGCCACTGTCAACGGTATCGTCAAGGCCTGAACCACTCACTAGCGCCAAAATAAACGATCCTTTTGTGATGTTTCAAATAAAATCTGGAGTATAAAATGGAGAAAAAAATCTTTATCTCATTTTTCTTATGTTTGGAGTTTTAAAAATAGTTCTGTTCATAGATCTCAATATTTGATCTTAAATTATTTTCTTTCAACATTGAGACAATACATTAATTTGTCATCTAGATTGAGGGTAAAAAAGGGACAGAGAAGGGTAAAACAAGGACGATGACAGGAAATGATAGTTTGTAACGTCATTTCGACATTACTTGGTGTCTTACTGCATGTTCCTTACTACCTCGAGCTGGATGATTTTAGTAAAAACATGAGAGATGAAATCGAGCGTTTTGAATATAACACGTTTAAACGTTTGACGTTTTAACGGCAAAAACGCCTAAACAACTGTTGTGGCCGTTAAGATGTTGGAACAATTTCAAGTTTCATGATCCACAATGCACATAAATAGATACAATAATAGAAACAGCACAGCGTATACCGAATGCTGGGTGAAAGTCTCCTAATGTCTGCAGTTGTGATGAACTTGCTGCAGTGGCTTCCATTCATTCATTCAAAAGCCTTATTCTGAAGCTGATATTCACACTACACGATTAAAATTCCTCAATGCCCTTGGCCAGAAGTATGCTCATCTTAACAGAGGTGCAGATAATGCTTTCAAAGCTACTGCTGTATTTGGGGAAGAGTTCAATTTGAGCGTTTCTTCCCGCATATTTCGCGTGGTCACCAGGGCTGGAGAGGCGGGCTGTGCCGGGAGTTTGGGGAAATGACTTCACACTCTTGATTACAGAATGTCGTGTTTACCACTGTAGACGTTCAGCCTTTAAATGAGAAAGCGGGTGGAGCAAAATCGCTCTCACGCCGTACATCTTGTATGTTACATCTTTTTCCCCCAGCCAAACTTTCTCCATCAGTCTGGGTAGGTCAGCCGCGGAAACGCTGCCTGAAAGCGAAACGCAGGGTCCTGAGGCGGCAGGTCTATGAGGTGTTGCCATACCCAGTGTCGCCTTTGGAGTTACCTGAAGCATTGCACCCAGAGAACAAGCTTCTCGTTTCTATTCGGTCGTTTCCGTGGGGAATTGCGGCACCGGCAGGTCCTGGGTGTGGCGATGCCAAAAGGGAGCTCCGATCTCCCAGCTCTCCCGCTTCTGGCAAACCTTCCCGGCTCCGAAGCGGCGAGTGACCGTCCCCCAAGACCCGCCATCCGGAATCCCGGGGGCAGCTGGCGGACCCGACCCAGCGGCCGCTGCAAATTGCTAAAGCGCGGGGCTGGGCGCGCTGTGCCAGTGCGCTTCTCCCCCATTCGTTCCGTGGCTGGAGGCGGATCCCCTTCCCAGCACACAAGTCCTTATATGCACCGGTTGCACCAGCCCGCGTTACTCCAGCCCCACAAATAATTAATGGGGGCGGGAGGGCGTCGCTCTTTCTTTTCTCTGGATTTTTTTCAGCGCTAGAGCATTTGCACCCTGTGGAGAAACCCCCAGATGCGATTGAAGGGCCATTTTGCTGCAGCGCATGAATTGGACACACAAAAATAAAGCCCCCTTGTCCCTATGATAAGCACGGCAGGGTTCAGGCACAGCTCTTCAGATCCAGCCGGATTAGCCAGCAAAAGCCCGGGCGGAAAGGGTGCACGCCCCTCCCCCACCCACGGTGGTGCAGAGGGACCGGGTCAGGAAGCGCGGCCTCTCCCCAGGCAGAAACCACGCCTCCTCCGCCTCCCCCCCCCCCCTTTACTCCTCCCAGGAAGCGGTGATAGACAGTTCTGTGTGGTTCTCCACCCCCACCCCCCCAGCTGAGTGGAGGAGTTGATGTGTCTCATTATAACAGCCAATGCAGCCGTCATCCACGCACAAGCAAAGCAGCATGTCCCATTTAAATACACCCACGCAGCCCGAGCGCCCTTAGCCGATCAGGGCGCGCAGCCCACACGCACCGCGGCTCCGGGCTTGGAGATCCGCGCAGGTTGGGCTCCCGGACCCCGCCGACCGACGCGCGGAGGATCGGGATCCGGCGCTGCCGGGCGGGGGTGGGCGGGGGAGGCTGGGCCCGGAGCCTCTGGCGCGACACCCGCATGAGGACGCGAGTGAAATAGACCAAGGTGGAATTTCCAAGGGAGAAGCTTCGGGGTGGTTTTGGTCCATTTCTCCGGCAAAGAAGTAGACATGGCGAGCGACTCCCCGGCTCGCAGCCTGGATGAAATCGATCTCTCGGCTCTGAGGGTGAGCAGAACATGTTTTCTGATTTCTTTCCAGTGGTTTGGGTCAGACTGAATGGGCTCGGTGCGTGGACGGGGGCTGGGGCTGGTGGGCAGAGGCGGGGGAATGCGATAGGGAGGGAACATGGTTTCTGGTTTTGATTCCGGGGCTGCCGAGGTGCGCTTGGCTGAGCCCCCACGGCAGGGGCTGTGCGGTACGTGTCCCCCTTTGGTTGTAGCCGAGGCTCCCCCGAGAGCGCGTGGAGCTTATGCCAGTTTCATCTTAGACCGATGAAGAGCATTAAAATGAAAGGCTCAATCTGTGTGTGTGTGTGTGTGTGTGTGTGTATGTGTATACACAAGCCGCGGGCAGTCGTCTTGTGCCAAGGCGCGAGACCCCTCTGTCCCTTTCTGCAAAAAGAAGAACAGCGTGAATAAAGGTACTGGCTCCTCAGGTTTTCCAGCTACCTGCAAGATGGTATTGTGAGCCTGGCTGTCCCCGCGAAGGCGAACCTGCCGCTCCAAGGGGGCAGCTATTGCTGTGCTCGCCTCATAGATGGCAACTGCCTCCCCTTCCCCCTTTTCTGCCTTCTGCGCCCCGACTCCCCCTCAGCGCTCTCTTAAATGCCGGTCTGCCACTCACCTTTATTTATGGTTTTAACTCAGCCATGCCTGTGCTTTCTGACTTTGTGGCTGTGACATTTCAGTTTTATGGCTGAACTTAAGCAGGTGAAAGGGATGTGTTCTCTGCCTTTCCCCAATCAGACCGGAACTCCCGGGAGTGTGTGTGTGTGTGTGTGTATTTTCCCCGCGTCTGCGGCCAGTCCTTTGTAGAGAGCACTTCCCTCCCCCGCCCCGGCCTCACCGGTTTGCATTTACCTTCACGTGAATTGACTCCGACGTCGTTTCATTGTATCGACTGAGGCATCACTGATACAGAATCCATTTTGCTGTTGTTTTGAGATCAGAGTACCAGGAATCCCAGTGCAGCCTCGACGCCACCCCACCCCCAACCCCATTCCCAACACACTCCTTCGGGGAAGGAAGGGGTAGAGCTTTCTTGCCATTTGAATTAGATGCTGCCTGCCGGGAAGGGGGGAGGGGAGGGGGTGGCAGCAGGGGTCTGAGAAGGATCGGACACCAATTTAAGGACAGCTTCTTCCTCTCTTGAACCAAAAATAAATTTGAATTTTAAAGAAGCCACTGCATCTCCTTGAGGCATGGAGAGTCGGAGACCGAGTCGGTGGTGGCTCTCAGCGCGGAGACGGGCAGGATGGGTGAAGCTCGGAAGTTCACACGCCCTCCTGAGGAATACATTGTTAGACTGATGCTAAATCTCGGCGCCGTGTGCCTGAATCTTCAGTACTTCTCCTGACATTGCCTCCTTCTCTACGGTTATTTTAAAGACCTACCTTTACGGTCAAAGTGGTACTTTTTCTTTAGTCTCCTCAATCGTCTCTCCCTTCCCCCCTCTTTTATACTCCCCCTCCCTCTCTCCTTAATCCTTCTTTCCAAGAGGTGAGTTTTCTGCAAGGCAGTCAAGGCGTTGAGAAGGAACAGAGATGCCATTTGAAATTGGCTTTTTTGATAGTTGGGTGGCGAAAGCCCATTCATGTGTTTGTACAGTAAGTGTCTATTTCCCTGGCCCCAAAATGCCACATTCAGAACCCACTGACCCCTGGGCAGCTGGGGGTGGGGGTTGGTAACAGGGTGGGTGCTTGGGCCAAGTCTGTGGCTTCCTGCCTTACAGACTGTTGTGTTCATTTGCCCTACTTTCTGTGCTGGGAGTTGCTGCCAGCCGGTTAATCAGGTGGATGGATGGCCCCGACTTCAGGGTAGGGGAAAGTGGCAAAGGCAGGGGATGGAGTCTGAACAATGGGCAAGCCTTGTGATTTCCCTGAGTTGGAATCTCCACACCACTCTGATGGAAAGCGCTCTAATGTGATTTTCAGTTGGGCTGGGCTGGAGGGGTCTCTCATGGGCTTTTTTCCTGGGAAGGTTTTCTGAGATGCCGAGCACAGAGCCTACAGGCTTGTGAGCCTCCATGAGGGCTCACCAGCCAGCCTGGAGTGCTGTCCACTCATAGGACGACTGTGCTCCTGAGATCTGTGTTTTGAAAAGACATCTTTGTGGGATTCACTGGCGTTGCCCTTTGTGGCCTGGGCTTAGTGCTCTGCCTCTGTATTTCTCCCTGCAGGAGGTGTGGGAAGAGGGAGGGCTACAGCTGGCTCAGGAGCTGGGGAACTGCTGGCTGAAAGACTTCAATGCCAATGTGGAGACAGTTGCGTCCTGGCGGGCTGGGGTCTGCCACCTGTCTTGTGGTGGGTGAGGTGTGCAGGCCTGGAGGGAGTGGGTCCAAAGGCCATGTAGGTAATCTCCACAGATCAGGGGGCAGATCATGTCTGTCTGTCTTCCCACGTTAGGAGAGGTGGGCTCATCTAGATGAAAGGTCTCATTTGTTCCTAAATTCTCAGTGAAGCCTGCCTGCTGAGGATGCCTGACCCCTGAAATGCAGCCAAGGTCAGCGGCCTCTGGGAGAATGTGATGCACCCCTACCAGTGCCTCGCTGTTTCGGTGGCTCTTTAATGTACACAATCAAGGCTCTTTTTGTCAACCCTGCGCTCAGTGCATGAAAAGCAGATCCTGGCTGGAAAGGCCTTCATCCTTCTCACTTTGGGGGCTTATTGTTCTCGGCCAGTGATCCCAGACTGGACCTAGTCTAAATTTTCTCCAAATAGCAACAATGCATAATTTAAACGAGAGCAACCAGTGACGGCACTGATCATTTAAATTATGCAAGATTTGGGCAGCTTTTAAAAGTAAGATAAAACAGGATCTTTTTTGGTTAGAAAAAGGATGATCCGAATCCAGTTTCCTTAGTCCCGATTTTTAGAGCTCCGGAGATAAACCAAGTCTTGAGGGAGGGGGATGAGTTCATAGATTTAGAAGGGGAAGAGAATTGTAGAACACTTAGCCACTCCTTGCATTTAATCCCTGGGAAACTGAAGCCCAGAGAGGCGGAGCCTATTGCCCAAGGTCACACAGTTAAACCTCCACCTTCTTGGGAGTGGGGGGAGTAAGAAGGGTGGTTTGGGGAGAGAATCTAGGTTTCCTGACTCCTCATTCAGTGCTCTTTTCTCTAAGTCACATTGCCTGTGGTTGATTCAGAAATCAATGATACATTTTCTGCCTGAGCAAAAACAGTGGCAGAGAGGAATAATTTCAACAGGGTCATGGAATTTTATTTCTCGAGAATGGAGAAACTGCTTCGTGCACTAAGCTCGTGGTACATGAAACCAAGGAGCTGTAAGATTCCTTTGAAATTAATCTTGTTCCGTCCCCTTCAATTCCTCCTCTGCAGGCAAATGACTGAATAATCTAGGACAGATGGTTGTCCTGCATGGTAACCTCTCTCCGTAACCCATCTCCCTCTGAACATGTCCCACGGGGTCAGTCTAGACATACACATTACTCAGATGTCTCTGCATGTGAGGTTTATAGAGTTCTATGTATGTTTTGTATAATCTATGTGGATACTTATTTTATATATAGTACTGTGGATATAAACTATCCATGTGGGTGTATGAAATGTGTGTATACACACATGCATAGGCTACAGAAAACAATCTACTCATTCAAACCCAGGGCTTGAGTCATTCTTCCTTTCAAGACATCACAGTATTAAAAGAAATGAAATTTGCCACCAGTAACTTTATTCCATACGAGGTGAAATCAGCCCAGAAAGCTTTTTGGAGATTAGCATATATCTGAATCTGAGCGCCTTGGCTGTCCTCAGCTTGGCCCACAGAGTAAGACAGTCAAGGCCAAGATTCGCCACTGCTGACTTCATACCCTAAGTTTCTGCCAGGACTCGCACTCACTTTTCTGTTTGAACAGAATTAGATGACCTCTGCTTGTCTTTCCCCCTATTCCTCGCTCCCTTCTGGACCTAGCTATTTCTTTCTCCATCAAAACCTAGATTTAAGAATTCTCCTCATCTGGAAGACTTGCACACATCCTTTCTGCTACACTTGTGTTATAAATGGTATGGGGTTTTCTTTCTGCCTGCTCACTAAACTGTGGGTTCCTTCAGGCCAGAGGCTAGGTCTTGGTCGTCTTTGAGTCCCTCGTCCCAGTTAGTTGAATAAATGAATAGATGCATGAATGAGTGAGCGGGAGGGTGGAGTGTACTGAGCACCAGATTTTATGTCCATGTCTTATGAGTTTTGTGACTTTGGGTAAGTCATTCAGCCATAATTAACTTAAAAATGGTAGTGATCACAAGTGCTTGCCTTCCTCACAAGCTGATTTCAATAATCAAATAAAGCATTTCTAGCAATGCTTTGAAAACCATAAAGCACTAGAAGAATATGCTATTTCATAATTAAATAGAATTTTATGGGAAACTTGATTCCACCAACTTTTGATCCCAATGATTGTACCTAATCAAAAGTGATCCTGAGAAAAAGATATCAGAAGGTCCTACATCTTTTTAATAGTAGTTTTTCTTTTTTTTAAAAAAATTATTTTATTGAGGTCATATTGGCTTATAACATT